CAACTGGAAGAGCGGACCGTTTTCGATTGAAATGACATGAATTACGTCGCCGGCCATATTCTGCGCAAACTGTGAGTTGTGACGATCTGGGGTCCCTTTATTGGCCGAGCCAACCCCCCTAAAAAGTTCGAATCTAATTTAGTAACCCTGAAAGTTGAAGTGTTGACTTTTGGGACCTGACGACACGCATGACCTTCTCTCCGTCAAGCGTCCTCTCCGCCAGCCAAGCGATATTTTCGAAGAGCTGCATTTGGACCTCTTTCGCCTCATCCGAACCAATGTTCACGGGCAGTGTGTGGCAAAATTGGGGGGAGATATGATGCCTGCCCGTCCTTTCTTCTTTGTCCCTTAATCCAACCCTTAAAATGGGCATCCAACCCTTAACATGGGCATGTGGGCATCGCTTTGTGACAATACCCTTTTCAGGGAAACCAACGTGAAAGCCACCGCTACTTTGACAACATCATTGAAATTCCACAAGCATTGGACCCTATCAGGGGGAGAGCCACTCATGATTGATCCTTTGAAGGGGCATATGCCTAGACCCTCCAGGTGTGCATTTTTTCTGCTGTTTGCTGAAAAAGCTATATATTGTGTCGTTTGCTCCAAAAAGAGCCTTTTCCTTTTAAAAGTGCTGCTTCAAAATCTTGCCAAAACGTGGTCAGCAAATGTCGCTTTTTGGTCGGGGAATGTCGCCTTTGGGTCGGGCAATGTCGCCTTTTCGTCTTCATCCTGGTTTCGCAAAACAGCAAAATATGCAAAAATGCGCTGAGGCAAAAAAATGCGTCGTTTGCACCAAAAGGAGCCTTTGGCCCAAACAGCACAAAAAAGGCATACTTAGGAGGGCCCAGGTATGGACCCCGGATCGACATCCTACGGCTTCAGGAATGTCAGGTACGCCCGCCTCACCCTTGAGGCAGCATCCCTTTGGAACCATGAAGCACAACATGAGCTGGTGCGAAGCTCACGGAAAGCAGCGGACTAGCTCAAAGTCAGCAGTTTCCGATTTGCTTCCGTCTACCCCCTCCCCCCCCAACAAAAAACAAACAAAAAAAAACAACAACAAGTGTCTTTTGCTACAGCAAGGAAAGCCGCGCCAAGTTTGGACCAGCTGCGTCGGGGAAGTGCCACTTCCCAGTCGTCGTGAACATATCTTGGGCGCCTGGGAGCCGCGAGGAAAACGGTCACGTCGGACCGAACGAACGCCGGCAGAAGGGGAGGGAGTTCCGTGGCTCCCGGGTACGCGTTGCAAAGATATACACGCGTTCGGCTCCGGAACCCGATGATACAGCTCTCTTGCTCCCGGTGTATCCCGAACAAACTTGGAAGATCCCGTGATCCAAGGGCTCATTTCGAGTGAATCGTGGGAACGTGTCACAGCTATGGACTCTATGGACCTATGGACGTTTGAGGACATGGTCGCTAGAGGTCTTTCTTGGGACCACGTGTCTGGGTGCTGAAATTTCTGCGCGTCTGGCAAAGCGGCAAGTGCATCCCCACTCTTGCCTAAGGCCAGCGCCCATCAAGGTGCAGTGGGTCCTCAGGCGTGCGTCTGGCAGTAGGTAGGTTGTTTGTTTTTTTCTGTTTGGAGCACTTACCCCTGATTCCATGAGCACGTGAAATGTTCCCCTTCCCTTTTAAACAAAGCACGGGCTTCCTTGAGAATATCCGTCTCCATCCTCCCCACGATTCTTCCGCTTGATCTTGTACAACTCCCTCGATCAGGTTTCATGCAGGAGGAAGCGCTCCCCAGAAGTCCGTTGCAAGCAAAGCTCATGTTGCTCCCGGTTGTCTCGTGCAGGAAGAAGAACTGCCTGATCTCCTCAAACCGGTGGAAGTCCTTCTCATGGACGTTTGCCTGCAGCACATTGCACGCATGTCTCCAGGCTCCAAGGGCGAGGTGCACCAGTTTGCAGACCAACCTTTCGGTGTCTTTCTTTGAGGGTATCCTTCTTTTGCCAAGTGTTAAAGAAAACCGAAAGGAAAACAGCCATTATTATTATTTTTTGGGGGGCGGTCCCCTAGAAAAAGACACCCATTTCTAGTCTTCATTACTTACGTCAACTCTCTCCAGCCGCGGGTGTTGGTCGCACCCTTTTCGTTGGCTCCGCTGCGCGCCTTGATTTGGGTACTTCACACATCCCACCGACCCACCCCAACACCAACAAAAAGCACCCCCAAACAGCCCCAGAAACCCCTGAACGCTTGGAACCCTTCCTGACTGCAGCTCTGAACCATTGCAGGGCTTATTTGGCCAGAAATCCCGAAGTTACCTTTGAGGCGATTCTTGGGGAAATCGGAACCGCAACCCCCCTTCACCCTCCCAGGTCATCTTGCGTCCCGCTCGCCTTGATAATCTCCGCCTGCGATCGGTTCACGTGGCGCGGGAACAGGTGCTCGATGGTGCTGGGTGCTCGGAAGTCGTTCCTCGCGCGGCTCGGCTGAGTCACCTGTTGGGTCTGACTTGGATGTGAAGGCCCTCTTTTGGGACCCTCTTGGAAGGCGGTACCAGCTGGGCGTTAAACAAGGGCCCCTTATTGCTTGACAACCAACATCTGCTGGAACAACTAGTTGTGTTGGGTAGGTGAAAACGAACCTTGCTTGAGGTCCCTTACTGGAAGGGGATGTATGTTCAACCATTTGGGTGAGCATTGGCCATTAACAGCAATAGCCAAGCAGCTAGCCAACAAGAAGGCATGCATTTGCAACTTCTGGCACAATGCCAAGCCGAAACAAGCGATCCCAAAGTAGTGAGCTTGTGTTACCTGCCAATCGGGAAGCTCATCATATGCAGGCGCATGCTTTGCTTGCAAGTGCAGGAGTGTGGCGATTTCTTGAACTTCGAAGACTACGGTTCACACATCTTTGCAACGACTGGAGAGGCAAAGAAGACTTCCCCAAAAGGAACGTCGTCCAAATTTCCTCTGGTCAGCGGCGCCCTCAAAGTGACACCCGGGCATTGAACGCTTGCGGGACAAAGCACCGGTGCCCACAGAACATTCTGGGAATTTCTCAAACTGCAGCTTTTCGAAAAACAATCGTGGATCATAGATGCGCTCACATGGGGGTCCCTTACGGAAATTGGGCCTTCCAGGACCCAGGAACCCCCGTGCAGCTTCGATCTTTGGGGTAACCAGCGCGAAAGATTCCAAGGCGCTTCAGCAAACCTTGCAGTTGAGCTCGGAAGTCCCAGTGCCGAGACCTCCGATTCGCTGGCCATCCGTCGGGTTCCCTTTGTCCGAAAGGACGCCCACCAAAAAGGGCAACTTACCCAGATCTCCTCGCAACTCACAATTCCTGCTTTTACTTAGGGTGTCTGGCTTCAAGGGAAACGGGCCTCTATTTGATGCATACCCTGGTGTCAAATAGAGGGTCTAGACAAATTGAAACGCGCCCCGCCCCCCCTGCAGGCCTTCTTTCGGGACAATTGCAAAGCATTGCTAACGTTTGGTACTTGGCATTCAGCTACATGTCACCACATTGCTGCATCATGGGCCTAGGTGAGCACATGTGAGCACCACTGTGGATGGTCTTACCCCTAGAAAGGGCGGTGGCGTTCCGTTTCCCTCTTTAGACATCCCAAAAGGGCGCTCTGTGCTTATTGAACTTCCAAAGGAACCGGGGAAGCAATTTTCTCGGATTGTTGCCGAGCGATTTCTCGGCCTTGCTCCAGGCGCTGCTCACGTCAGAAAAGGGTGCCTAAAGGTCAAGCCCGTGACCAACCGACCCGCAAGAAATCCCAACTCGCCACTGACTGGCCCCAAAGTGACATCCTCAAATTTCGCTCACATGGTCGCCGAAAGGGACCCACCCCGCACAACTCATTTTGCGAATCCCTCAAGCTGTTCACTGAAAACGGCCCTTGAACTCTGCTTCTGGAAGCGGCCCCTCCAGTGCGAGCGGAGCGGCATCTGATCTGCGATTTCCTGGCGCACATGGAGAACATGCCAAGGAGCTACAGGGACACTCGGTTGCGACCGCTGCGAACCCCTGCTAAAAGTTCAACTCTTAGTGGCTGAATGGAAACCCATTAGTTGGCAACATGTTAAAGTCTTAATATCCAAGCAAAATGCACCAAAGGACAGTAGTGGGCGTCGAGTTGCCTGTCTGTCCCCTTTTTGCTCGCCAAGCATGACAGCATGGGCTTGCCTTGATGTCATTTTCCGGATTACAAACTCGCAGCAGGTTGTTCCGCTTCTGATGCAATGCACGCCTAATTCTTACGGGACCGGGACATTGGTATGTCCCATGCACAGGGGGGTTCCAGTTCCCTTTCTTAGGGTTGGCTTTTGCCTCCTGCTCACACAGCATTTTGCCCAGCTCTCAGTTGATTTGCCCGCAGAAGACTAGTCCCACGCAATCCTTGAAAATCAGTCCTCTCTTGGCTGGACCGGGGGGCGGGGAACGCTGCTCAATGCCCAAGCAACAAGAATGGAGCTGAACGAGCCATCTTGTGCTCCTGCTACTTAGCGGCAATCCATGTCACTGACTGAGGTGATTGCTTCGGTGGCGAAGCGTAAATCACTTCGCCCTGAGAGGTTCTTTTTTGGGGAGTCCGAAATCTGGAGGCCCAGATGTGTCCCAAATTTCTCGTGGAAACCAAAGAAAACCGCCCACCCGTGTCCCAGTTTAAAGCTCACAGGGTTTGCCTTAGGGGGAGCCACCAAAATTGGAGCTTTATGGAGGCTGAGAAAGCGAAAGGAGACATCCATTGTTTTGGGGGTCATTCACTGAGGAAGACCTACATCACCCCCGAGTCTCTTTGTGGGATGCGCAGCGCTGTCTTCCTTCGAGAAGCGCGGAGAACCTTCGAATCTAACCTGAAGAATCTTGGTAGGACCCTTTTGGATGCCAGTGAGCATTGCAGGATCCTCTTTATGCTGTCGCCTCAAGCTGCTACCGGCTACTGCGCGCCCAGGTGGCCCTAAGGAGACCACAGGGTTGAGCCTTCAGACCAACACAGGCGCAAGCCCTCACCCAGCAAAAGCCACCCGCGCCCG